GAAGAGAAATTGTTTACTTTACAAAATGTTGTATTTTCTCATTTAAACAAATATATAAATTTGGGTTAAAGGTTGGTTCTTAGAGAGTTCCCCTTTGATGTCACTTCCTGTTTCTTGGCTGAGCCCAGTTCAAAAGAGAATGTGCCAGTTATTTGATGAAATGAGTGAAATCGTGTGTGTTATGCCAGTGTTTTTCAACCCTGGTACTCAAGGCACACTGCCCTGCGTGTTTCAGAGCAGGCGTCTCCAACCATTRGCTCGTGAGCTCATTCAAAGTAGCTCTTCAGTGCTTRTGAAAAATTAGGARAAGCAAAATTTAATTTGTGCCTGGCCAAACAAACTTTCATTTCATTCCAGTCTATTGATGTCACTTCCCCAAACAGTTTAAGGCTCAGTGTGGTCGATCAGCAGACGACGCGCAGTTACGTGGTTGTTCRACGTTCRTTTTCACACACAACTTTCATAGCCCTTTGAGACACAGCGTGCCGAGCTCCTGGTAAAACCCTCCCRCTGCGGTATATACGTCATTGCACAAGGTTTCTTCCCGCTGGAGTCTCCAATGCAGGAAAAAAATCTGAGACCCGTCATCCGACGTTATTTGTGCACAAATCTGTTGCGGTTAAACCCTAAGTTAGTAGTGTGAAATACACTATAATATGAATGGATAAACACAAAAAGCACATTCATGTAAATTCAGTGTCCTTTGTGGTGATTTCATGTGAATTTAAGACAATGTTTTTTTTTTTTGTGCACAACGGGCTTATTCCAATGGTTTATGTTTAAAATTAAATGTTGCAAAAAGTAGCTCTTGGACAATCATTTTGTGAAAGTAGCCCACCTGTTCTACCCTACGGACCCTGTACAGGGCCCGCAGACAGCGTCATTGCATTGTTGTTTGCTAAAGTAGGTGTAAAACTTATTTTTCCCAAATTTTTTCTAAGTGTGTCACAAAAGGTGTCTTTAATGTTTTTAAATTGAGCTTTCAAACTATTTTTGGATAAATATTCATGATTTTAGGGCTATATAAACATTTGYAAGTTACTTGAACCATCGCAGACCGTTTCAGTATCAGGAAGTTCTCCGCATCTTTTACTGTGCAAGTTTTGGTTCCATCCCCTAGTTTGTCACACCTGATTCAGATGACTGCAGTTCAACAAAAGCCTGTTAATCAGTTATGGATTGAAATCAGCTGTGCTGAAACAGGGGCACATCTRAAACATGCAGGGCAGTGTGCCTTGAGGACCAGGGTTGAAAAACACTGTATTATGCTAAGTTTCTCAAAAATAAAGATGTTTTCTTTGACTTTTTTATTTACAAAAAGTCTATGAGCTATCTCCTACAGTTAGAGTTATACTTCTTTGATAATCGGCTGCACAACAGACTGTTTGAAACTGGTACAAAGCCTATCGACAGAGGAGTTTAATCAAAGTAAAATACTAAAGGTATTTACTAAAGGTATAAGGTACAAAAGGGGGGATTTGTTATGGGAAAGACCAGTCCTGCCAATGTTGCAGAGACAAATCAGTGTTATTCCTGGCCTCATGGTGTTGTGAGCGATCAGATATGACTTCATGTCACCTCTGCTGCTGACAGCTTGTTTCCTCCTGAGACAATACATTACTGTCTGTCAACAAGAAAACACCCACCCACACATGGAGCATCATGTTAAAGTCCTCCTGTGACCAGCAGATCCCTTGATCTCTGATTGAATGTGTGAGATTAGATTGAACATCAACTCAGACTCCTCTGGGTCTGAGTTGATGTTCACAGCTGCTGTGGGCTGACTTGTACTGCCATCAATCATTTTATCTGATATTTTAATCATTACCATTTTGGTGGTCTAGTTCACACGTGTACAGTTCTTGAATGGACAAATGTCATTATACATTTTTCTAATAAAGCTTTATTACTATGCTCCAAAAAAATAAACAGTCTTAAATTTATTTCCCCCTCATCTTCAATGTTTCTTTAGGCCAAGTTCACTATAGACAAACAAACCAGCAGCACTTTATTTGACCAACAGAGAACAGAACAACCTCCTGAGTGGGGATGTTTATGTTGGGGTGACGCAAAGTTGCATTTTTTCATGGCCATAAAAAAATACAAATTAAAAGAAACATGTGCTTGTGTGATTTCAGCAAGCTCTACTCACAAGATTCCCATAACTGCTGTAAACAAAAACCTGCGGAAGAGCATTTCTTAATCTGTCAATTTCCTGTGGATTATGTTGTGATTACATCCAGCTGATCTAAATCTGAACAAAACAAATATTTCTTTTTTTTTTTTTGCAACAAATTGGAACTGTAACTTCTGGTAAAACACAGATTTTTTTTCTTCCTTTTTTGCAMAATCCTGACACCATCAACACTTCACGTCTCTCCAACAAACACTCTGCAAATCACATTTAAAAATAGCCGAATGAGGCGTGTTATCCAGGTAAACCAGTCTGAACACTAAGAGCTTGCTGCTAAAATATWTTTTTTCATGCAGTGTGTTAAATTAAAACTTCTTTTGACAATGAATTATTAAAATGAGCAAAGCTGAACAAACTCACAGAGTAGTACCAGTATTATACGTATATAAATTAGCACAGCAGTAAGGAAATTTGTGTTTGGTAGATTATTTCTTTGTTGTAACAACGATCTTTGGCAATAAATCTTAAACTGTGTTGATTTTCTTTTTAAATATTGAACATGCATTTGTGGGATGAGCATTGCTACAACAAAGAAATAATCTACCAAACATCACATTTTCCTTACTTTCTGTGTCAAGTCGTTGCTGATAAATGACAAAAGCTGTAAAACACACAATTAAAAGTACCTGTATTTGAAGAACACACAGCTTAAAGAAACGGATCGGGTCAAACAGCAGGGTAGATCTACAGCAGATATGGGGGAGAGGCAGGACATACCAAACACGTCCTGCTCTGAGACTCCACCACATGAAGCTGAGCTGCAACGATCCTTGGCTGATGTGAGACATTCGAGCATCTGCTGTGGTGGAAATGGGAGGTGACGAAAACTCAGGGTTTTCTTTTTTCTGAGAATGTAGGGAGGGAACAACTTCATTGGTCCTCAAAGAGCCCAAATTTAGTGGAAAAGGACCAGAGGAATGCAGCTAAATGTGGCTGAGTGTCAAGTTAAAACAAAGAGAAGTAAAATGACTTTTTGTGAATTTTGAGCGCTTTGTTTGAGTGAGCTGAAAATGACACCTCATGTGTTATATGGAGATATTTATTTCCTTTATCTTGGCAAAAAAAAACAACATTTGACACATTTTTTTCTGTAAAACTAACCAAAATTCAACGATAAAACTCTGCTTCCACAATCTGATCACATTTAACCACCAAACAGACAATTTGATACAAAAAAAAAAAAACTTCACAGAAACGATTAAAAATCTAAAGGTGCGGCTTTGCTCAACAGATGTTGGCAGGACTCCATCACAGCTCAATGAAACTTCCTTCCTGGCATCGAGCTCTGAGAACAGATCTGCACCAAGACAGGAAAACAAATCAAACACAGAAGCCAAAGGATCGTGTTACAGCAAACTGGATACAGTCTAATCAGACTTACTCCAGACACGAACGGTGTAACATTTCCAAAGCTAATTCAAACCAACTACTAACAAACAAAGAGTTGGAATAACAGAATATACACACTGAWGATCATATTTATTTGGGAAGTAGAAAGTAACTGCACGATCTAAAAGCAATCAGAAAATACATTAGTGTTACTGTCGATGCTTTAAAGAATCAAACATTTACAGCATTGTGCAAATTATTCAACTGGAGCGTTCTGCAACATGAAGACAGCAGAACCTTCACAGTCCACAGCTCATCTCCAAYATGTGTGAGAAGACTGGAATGAAGGGGAGAGTGAGCTGCTGTGGTTCTGTAGTAATAATAAAATAAAAACATTGTTGTCCACATTGACCACATAGCTGGGTGGGAGGAGAGCTGCTTCGACCGTCCGGTTCACCGGCCCTGCGGAGCGGCGCTGGAACGCCCTTCAGAACGGGGAGAGGCTCGGCACTTTGATATTGATGTCTCCGATGTTGATGTTGCGGGGAATCTCGGGCAGGTTCATGTTCTTCACAGCGGAGACGGCGCGAGCCGGGGCCGCGGACAGACCACCCTGCCCGGGGGGAAAACAACATGGGAACACACCTGTGAGCACCTGTGTGTGAGCAGCACTCATAATCAACAGCTGGAGAAGTGTGTGGATGGGAACTGACAGAGAAGTTCTGTTTGTCTTTTTGTTTTGTTTGTTTTTGTGGGGGAGGGGATGTTAATTATGCAAAATCAACTTTTTGGAGCTTTTTATCACTATATAATATCACCCCCCCACACCCACCCACCCCCAACAAAAACATACCCTGAGTGTTGCTTTGATCCAGTCCTGCATGTTTGAGAAATCCTTGAATCTCCTGTGGAGCTGACTAAGCACATGCTGGAACAAAGCAMCGCCTATTTACCCAAAGCTCCTCCCTGGAGCTCCGCCTGCAGCCGAGCTCCTGCCCCACAGAACATCCCTCCCACAAAGCATTGTTAGAAAACGTGCTGCAGTGGGAGTGTCTGAAATGGTAGGATGTTCTTAAAGAGACAGAGGTCAATTTCAAGTCATTTAGACCAGAGATTCTTAACCTGTGGGCCGTGAGCGCCACCCTGAGGGTCTCAAAAGAACAACAGTTTTTAACTTTGGGCCGCGGGACCATTTTGAATAAGGTGCAATTCACTTTCTCACCACTAGTAGCAGTCGTGCGCCACTCAGTTGTTTAAAGAGTAACTTACCCCAAAATTAACTTTTTTTAGCTGATAAACTGTCTAGAATGTGTCTAAAATGTTATATTGTACTGTTTCTGTGTTAATTTTGATGTTTTTGTGTATATTTGTTCAAATCTGTAATATTTGGTCTAAAAACGTCTTTTTGCTGCTCATATGGGTAGAGCAGTGGTACTGCAGGCTAATTTGCATATTGGTTAACGGCTCTCCACTGTGACGTGCTTCTCCACAGTTTCGTCACAGCGGCTGTGCTCTCATATAAAAACCTAAGACACGCCCCTGCAGCAGTCAGAGGGTGGAACAGTGGACCTTCAGCCTCGGTGGAGAGAGGAGCTGGCTGCTCTCTCTCTC